CCCCAATACACCTCTTCCGGTGGGCGCCTCCCTTTCGTTTGATATGCCATCTGTGAATCGCATTTTCACTAATATTATCCTGCTTATCCTTTGACCTTTGACCAAGTTTGGCCCATTCCTAGTGAAGGGTCAGAAGCTCACTCTCAGTCCAGTTTGAAGCCACACTTTCTATAATGCGCTTTTCAGAAATGCGTCCGAACGTAATGGACATTGAGGAAATTGACTTTGGACAGACCACTACGCTACGCGTTCAGGACACCGTGAACCCCAGATTTCGGAAACAGAAACTCCAAACGCCCACTGAAAATCCTTCGGGTGACAACATACCCGGTAGGTTTTATCTGTTCTCTGACCGCATTACTCTGCCTCTCTGACAGATGACCACCCACCTGGCCCAATTATATCGCCCATCTAGCAGTTCCTCTATCTCTGTCGTCCACAACTTTTTTTGCTATGAAACCCCTGTTTCGTAGTTGTCATCCTTGTGGGTTTTTCTTTTTGGACTCATGCTTGCGTGCGTCCTCGTAAGTGTGGAGATATAGATTTTGAAGAAGGAGACACGATCGCTGGGACAAGAGCTTTATTGGCACGACGTTTCGGATTCCTGCTCGCACCCATCATCAGAGACAAAAGCAGATACGGGTGCTTTTTTATACGTCGGAGTTCGAGTTGCTTGTTTGCTTCATGGATTTGATGTCTTGACCCTTTGGCAAAGGTCCCCCTAGCTGTCGAGGCTCGCTCCCACCTCACCGAACTAGGGCGACGGAGCGCCGACACCAGATTACCGGCCTCAAAAGCGGCGTCTTGATGTCGCACGGCCTCACTGCATCGATGAACAAGGTTAACGCTAAAGCAGCTAGGTTGGATAAAGACGAGGCACATTCTCTGGGAAGAAAGAGACAGGAAGTGGTGCCTAGGTGCTTATTGAAGTTTCAATGTCATTGAATTGCTCACACTGGCTCTCGGCGTTGGCGGAGTTTTCAGAAGCCAAGTCACGATTCTTGCCGCTAAATTATTGGCGGTAGCTGTATTATGACGAAATCTTAGTTTATCATCCTAAGCCGTTGGTGTAAAACCACGAAGACCCAGTAC